GTGCATGAAACACACACACACACACACAAAGGGGAAGTCTTTAGGGCAAAAAATAGACCTAGGTTTGTATTAATATTTCAGCTTGTTTATTCTTTGTGTGTGTCCTCAGCCAATATGGCTAATTATGATAAATATGATCTACAATTATGTGCTATGTACTGTCTTTGATATACAGTATCTCATTTAAACCTTGTGTAATCCTCTGAAGAAGGTCCTCTTATTTTTCTCATTTTAACAGATGATGAAACTCAGAGAAAGGCCTGTGGTTACATAGCTAGTAAAACTGGCAGAGTCCACTGAACTTGAATTCAGATTTGGCAATGCTTTAATATCTGGTATCCAGCAGCTACATAACTTAATATTTCTCAGTGTCATTTCCTTATCTCTAAGCTGGAGATATTAATGCTCACTTCATAAGATTGTTCTGATGGTGACATTCACTAACAAGAGAAGTGCTTCTACATAGTTGATAAACAGTAGTTATGAGTCACTTCCCTGGTTCCTGAGAAACAATAAAAAAAAAACAAACAGGGTCTAACCCTGTTGCCCAGGCTGGAGTACAGTGGTGTGATCTTGGCTCACTGCAGCCTTGATTTTCTGGGGCTCAAACCATCCTCCTGCCTCAGCCTCCTGAGTAGTTAGGACTATAGGCATGTGCCACCACACCCTGGTAATTTTGTTTATTTTTTGTAGAGATGAGGTCTCACTATTTGCACAGGCTGGTCTCTAACTCCTGGCCTCAAGTGATCCTCCTGCCTTGTCCTCCCAAAGTGCTGGGATTACAGGTATAAGACACCATGCCCAGCCCTGAGAGGTAATTTTTACTAGTAGGCTTCTGCTTTGGTTTTTGTTTCTAAGTCGATGTTCTGGTATCTCAGACACCCAACTTTCCCTGTAAATTGGCCTCCTTTCAGCCCCTGCAGGTGATCCCTGCCATCTCAAAGCCATCTTAATCTGTGAGTGTCAGCCTTGACCTTTTCTTCTCCTTCCCCCTCCACCCTCTTTCCCAGATGAATCCTGTGCTTTACAGGAAGGGTAGGAACACGTGACACTCATGCAAGTTGCCAAGTACTGAAGGAGTGTTTTAAAATACGCACATTTCCTTTCACCCTATAAGCAGCCCTGGTGTCTGAACTGGTTAGTTCCTCAGGCCCTTTGTACCAGCCTGGCTCCTCCAGTGCCTGACTGTGTGCATACCCATTTTTGAGGCCGGATAATAACCATCTGATACTCGGGCCAGGAGTCCACCAGCACCTCCAGGTTGAAGGGGTTCCCATGATTGATGTGATACACAGAGCCATACACCTGAAGGAGAGATGGAAAGGAATAGGAGAGGTTAAGATGTCCAGAGATGGGGATTTGGATGTGAAGAGGAAGAGAAAAACGGAGGTTAAGAGATGGTACTGGGACAAAGTCAGTGACGGTGAAATGAGCAGCATCTCCAGGACAATACTGATGGACGTGAAGTCACCAGCAAGCAGGTAGAACTCACAAGTAGGTGTCCTTGTGATACCAAAGAGCTACTGTGCACTAGCTGGGCACTTGGCAGTGCTCTTAAAACTTACATTGTGTGGATTTATTTAGTGTCCACAACAATTTTAAGAAGTAGGTGCTAATATTATTCCCATTTCATTGATGAAAAGATCAAAGGTAAAGGCATAGAAAGGTAAAGAAACATGCACAAAGCCATGCGACTAGAAAATGGCAGCCTAGGAATGCATATCCATCCAGTCTGGCTCCAACACTATGCTTGTAGTCACCATTCTCCACCGCCTCTCCAAATGAATGACAAAACCTGCAGAGTGGGCCTAGCTGCCTCTTCCCAAGGAGAAGTAGCAGCTCTTGACATGCCTCCTTCATCCCCAACCTCATCCTGTTTCCCAGCTTCAACCTTCTGCAGAAAGTCAGGAAGGACCAGAATCACGAGCCTGCTATTTACTCATCCTCAACACCCTTCCTCCCATGCCCCGACCTCCCACTATTCCCTGACCTTCAGGGACTCAGGGATGCTCCTGGCTAAGGATTTGTATAGGGCCAGCAGCTTCTGGGAATTATTCAGTAGGATCATTTTGTGGGATGCTTCAGTCCTTGAGTCCTTCAAGAAGAAACTCTGAAAAGATAAGAAGTGAAGGGAAAATGTTAAGAGACCAAATGAATTTAAGATGCACTTTATACATCTCCATTCAAATAGCACTCATGATGTAGTTACTGTTAGTATCATCCTCATTCTGAATACACCAAAGCTCAGAGAGACTAAGAACATTTCTCAAGTTCTTACAGAGATAAATGCCAAAGTCAGATTTTGAAACCATATATGAATGGCTCCAAAACCCATGCCCTGCCTCTCTGGTGGAATGAATTAAAAGTGAATATTAAGAGTTCTGTGAGGTTCCCGAATGCCTGTAGTAGAACACTCTACCACCACCATCATCATAACCTTTTTCCTGTAATTTGGTCATCAGGTGCCTGAGAAGTCTTTCATCTGGAATAGAAAATATCAGCCCTCTAAGAACAGTTGTGACTGGAAAACTTAAGAGCAGGAATTGGCAAATATTTTATGTATTTAGTTTCTTAGGGCTAAATATTTCAGACCTATGGCCATTTTGGAAGTCGTTTCAGTTTGATTGCAAAAAAGAAAACATGGAAAAATTTTGACACCTATCTATAAACTTCTGTTGAAATAACATTCAGAATTCTTAGAAATGTGCCAGTAATTTACCAATAACTTGGAGAAGGGTTATCATCACAACTGATAGGTTCAAAGCTTAGGCTGGTTTCAAATTTTAGTTCTGCCTCCTACTTCTTTGCTAACTTGCTTAACCAATCAGAAACTCTAAGTGTTTTCTCACTGCTTTGGAACTGGAAATTAAAATTTCCAGAGTAATGAGATTACACAATGTAATACATATAAAATGTGTAGCATTATACCTGGCATAAAGTAAGAACAATATTTAACATACGTTATTTTTTAAATTGATTTTATATTAATCAATGTCATGTATAAATTTAGCGATTATATCCAATGACGTAAAAATAATAAAAAATGTAAAGAACTTACAAAGTTAATTAATGTAAGAGAAAGAACCCACATATCAGTTATTTGAAACAGTCATTAGCAAATTAGTTAATACAGATGTTTGAAATTTTGTATCCATGAAGGTGAAATAGTCCCAAATATATGTTAAATAATAGACAAGGTGAAACAGATTTTGTCTTCTCTTGGGTCAAAGGCCTCAAAGTTAAACTATGTTCTGTAGCTAGATGAAGCAATGTTTAAACAAAAGCATCATTTTGCAAGAGCTTAGAATTTCAGAACATTGGAATACTCGAGGAACTTTTAGTAAATAGAACTGGATCTCTGACATGTGCCTATCTCGTGTCTGACTCTGCTGTTCTTATAGCTGTCAAAAAAGCTGGTCTTTTTTTCCCCCACCTCCAAGTGCTTTCTTTGCTCTGTTTTTCACCTGATTTAACTAAAATTGCCCTTACCCATGTGTTTTACTATGGTCTCCTCTTTTGAGTTTTTGGTCAAGATTTTAGAAGTTTTAATTCAAGATCTACCATGCTATATCACTACCTACAAAACAAAACAAAACAAAACAAAACAAAACAAAACAAAACAAACAACTTGTATATTATTTGTCCTGAGAACATTGTAGCCTGGGCTAATACATGCGATCAACCCCTACACCTATCAGGTGCCACATCTTTATCCCAAATACCTCTCCTATCCATTCCCCACTCCATCCCCTTGCAATGACCTTAGTTCAGAATCCCTTTGTCCTTGCACTTAATATTGTTCTTATGACCCCACCACGGCCTCACCTTCTAACATCTACCCCCCAAAATTTTTCTCTACCCATATTCTTACCATCAACATTTCTTTTCTAAATCAGGAACCTGCTAAAAGCCTTGGTAGACCCCTCCCCACACTCTTTTAAAAAATTGTTTTAAAGTACACATAAAGGAAAACTTACCATTTAACTATTTTTAAGGGTACAACTCAGCAGCATCATGTATATTCACAATGCTCTACAAGGATTACCACTATCCATTTCCAGAACGTTTTTGTCATCCCAAACATAAACTGTACCCATTAAAACACAGTTACTAATTCCTTCTCTTCCTAGCCCCTGGTAACTTTTATTTTACTTTATGTTTCTAGAAATTTGCCTATTCTAGGTACTTCATATAAATGGAATCTTACAATATTTGTCCTTTGGGGTCTGGCTTATTTCATTTAGCATAATGTTTTCAAGGTTCACTTAATGTTGTATCATCATGTGTCAGAATTTCATTCCTTAACTGGAATAATTTTCCATTTTATATGGAAAATAAGTTTAAAGTCCACTGAAGAAAAAGAATAAATTTGTGAATGATAGTAAATATGAGTAGCACACAGTCAGTCAGTAGTCGTTGTGAAGACTATAGAAAAGCAATTATAATAAATAATGGGTAAAAAAGAAAAGTAACTTGTACATATCTACCAAAAATGTGTATGCATGTGGACAAGGACTTAAAGGGAATAAACATATAAATTGTTTTTGGGTGGTGAAAGTATGTGTGATTTATTTCCTATTTCAGAATTTTCTTTAGTACCATTGACATATTTTTATTTTTATGCAAGTTTGAAAAAAACATAGAAGGCAATGGAACCACATAGTTAAAGATAAGAATTATGAACACAAAAGAAACGCTATTTTTCTTTCTTTTTTCCCAGCAGTCCCATCACCTATCAAATTTTCCTTTTTTTTTTTTTTTAGTGGGGAGGAAAAAGCTCCCCATGTCCCACCATTCTGTGCATGCCCAATCCAATCACCTGCAAAGCGTATAGTTTGCAGTGAACCCCAAGAATGAGTTGTTGGACAACTCCAGCTGAGAAGGGTGGGAAGCAATTCTTCTGAGAATGGCGCCGACTATTAACTACAAACATCCACTAGATGGCCATTTGAGGTCGGTTACTGAGGCACCTGTGACCTTGTACAACACTCAAACCGCATTCTCAGGAGGCTGTTTTCAGTGTTTCTTTTCACACCACACACTCCACTCCCTGTCCTGTTTTCAGGGTCATGGAGTTTCATTTTCATGCACAAATAACATACACAGAGTGCCTCAGTATTTTTCCATGCCTGACCTCAAATGCCTTGTACATAAGCTTGAATGTATTGCCATGCACCTCAACACCACCCACAGCTGTCAAAAAGAGTGCAAGGCAGATTATTCCAAAGAGAATAGCAGTTGACATTCCATAGTGCCAAACCCTTTCTTAGCCAAATGGGACTTTACTGAGAGCCCTCTTTTTAAAATATACATCAGTGCATTGTTGTTCATTCGGAATGTTCCACTGTAAGTTATCTTTAGTAAGATTTTGCTGTTTCTGTGACTTTGCTGCCTCCCAGACCTAATGTATAACCCAGAAGGAACTGTTTGCCAGAAATTAAGGATCCCACTTTTACCTAAAATACTGGCTTTACTCTCAGGTTCTCTTGATTAAGTTAAGATTTTTCCTACCTTGGCGCATAAGAAAAATGAAACAAAGGTGTAAATCACAAAAATCCCTGTGAATTTTCAAAAGCCAAAATTTATAACTCCTGCAACATTACTGCTTACTACCAGTTCTTTTCTGACCCGGTCAGATGTAAGAGGCCTCTAAGTGGATCCAAGCCAGTCAATTCCCAGATCAAATTCGTGTCTCTGTTGCAACTCCAAACCCATTCTGAATCAGAAATTTGCTGAAAGAAACTCAGAGAGCTCAAAACACAAATGTGTGAAGTTCCGATATTTGAGTGGGAGCTTACCTGTAAGCCTCAACTACTCTGAGAGATCAACGGGCACAAGAGGATCCTGCAGGTGCCTTCTGTGTTCACTCAGCACTCTTGGGGGTTACCAGAAAGTCCACTTCAGATCCTGCTTCTGACACCTGATAAAAGAAAAACTTCAGCTGAGTTAAATTTAAAGGAGTTTAATTGAGCAATAAACAATTCGTGAACCTGGCACCCCCCCAGAATCACAGCAGATTCACAGAGGCTCCAGGGGTGTCTCGTGGTCAAAACAAATTTATAGACAAAAAAAGGTAAAGTGATAATACAGGACCGGAAGTGAGGTACAGAAACAGTGAGACTGGTTACAACTGGGCGTTTGCCTTATTTGAACACAGTTTTAACATCCAGCATTCTATGAGTGGTTGAAATATATGGCTGCTGGGATTGACCAACATTCAAGTACTATTCCAGGTGCACACTACTAAATTAGGTTCTCAATTTTGTCTATTAAGCTAGGTTACAGTTCACCCACAGGGACTCAAATGTAGAAGTACAGAGTCCTTTTTGGGCCATATTTAGTTTGCTTTAACACTTTGTAGCAAAATTCATTGAAAGGATTGTCTATACATGCTATCTCCAATCCCCCTCCTAATCTTATTTAATGGGGTTTTTGCCACTATCATTCTACTGAAACACTTTTTAAAGCCATCAATGGTCTCTATGTTATTAAATCCAATGGTCCATTATTGCTTCTCATCTGAATAGATCATTTTTGAATGGAATTTCTTCACTTGGTTTCCAAGACAACACACTGTCTTGGTTTTCCTTTAACTTCCTTGATTACTTCTTCTCAGTCTGTTCTGTGGACCCTTCTTCTCTCTCACATTTCTTAATTTTAGATTACTTCAGATTTTAATCATTGGCCCTCCACACTTACTCTCTGGTGATCCCAATTGGTCCCATGGCTTTAAAGGCAATCTACATGCCAATGACTAGTAGTTTACCTTATAACTCAAACTCTTTTCCAAACTCAAGACATATATCTAATGGCCTGGTTGACATCTCTTGGATTCCATCCAATTGCCATCTCAAACTCATTATGTCCTACATCAAATTCCTTATCCACCCTCTCCACCCAGCCTAGTTCACCTGTAGTTTTTCTCAACTTAGTTGATGGCAACTCCTTCTTTTCACCTGTTCAAATAAAAACTCTTGGATTTATTCTTAAGTGTCTTTTCCCCTCTCACTTTACATCCAATCCATTATGACATCCTGCTAATTCTGGTTGGGAGAAAATTCTTCATGGCCTCTCACATTTCTGCATGTTTTATGAGCAGAGACATTGACAGACTTTGCTCCTATCTTTTCAAGGATGTTTGAAAAGAGGACAGCTTGGAAGCTGGAGATAATTGCTTTCTTCTGAAGCAGAGGGCAGGTTTGCTTACTGTTCCTTGTAAGAAAGACAATGTCTTCCTCTGGAGTAAAGCTCAGACAGGTTTGCTTGGAGTTCATTATAAAACATCTAGGTTCCCTAAATTCAGGGCTCCTTGGCTGCAACACACATCTATTGCATTGCAACATTAATCTGCCTTTCTGTATTTCCTCTGTAGGACTTGTGGAGCAAGAAGGACTGACACAAACACAGCAATAATTCTGCCTGCTGAATGAGTCATAAAATACTGTCTTTGACCCAGGAGGCTTGTGTCGTCTGCTAGCATTTATGAAATTGTGCACCAAGCAGGGTAAACTTTTAGATGCTTCACAGTTTTTGGCAGTCTTTTCTTGATGGAGAAAGTCTTTCGTCTTTTCTCAATGGAAAACCAAAACGCTACTTTTTAAAAAAAAGGCAGATTTTGTCATTCCTTTGTGCAACTCCTGCAGTAACTCCCAATATCATTCAGAGAAAGAGATATAAATTCCTTATAACAGCCCTTTAAGTTCTCCATGACTTAGCCTCCAGTCACCTCCCTGATATCCCTCCAGTCACAACCCCAACCTCACTCTCTTTAGCTTCTCTGCTTCAGGCACTTGGCTGTCCTTTTTCTTCTGCCTGCATTCTGTCGTCTCATTAGACCTATAGAAAACTCAATTTCCTTCTCTAAATCTTCATATAAAAGCCACCTGCTCAATGAGGCCTCCTTTGACCATCCTATTAAAAATTACAAGTGCTCCCCTAATCTCTCTGCAATGCTCCTGGTTTTAGTTCTTTGATACTTTTTGAGGGATCTAGGAGTCCTTTACTAAGGAAGAAATTCATATAAAATAAATGGAAGTTTAAAGCTTCAAGACCAAAGGATCAAATTCTGTGTTCATACAAAAGAAAACGATCTATGGGACTACAGGGTAGGTTTCAATTCCAGTGCCAGTGCTAGGTCCAATCTGCCTCAAGTTTGCATAGGCACCCCTGTGAGACTCTGAAGCTCTTGCTCATGGCAGGGAATGGGGACTGCGTGGCTGAGTGTCTGTGGGAGGGTGGTGCAGCCCCACCCTCTGCATATTCTCACAATGTGTTAAGGGTCTCTGGGATGCTTCTTTCATATCAATGGCCTTCATTCACCTTTAGCAATGTGAAATTAGGATGCAGCAGCCATCTTAGGAAGACATCTGATAGCTGTTGGCACCTATTCATAAAATCTGAAAGCTTCCTAGGGATTCTGAGGAGGCTTGCCTTTGCAACATCTTTTGGAGGACTTTGGAGAGACCTAAAAGTCAAAGAATCACTCTATCCCAATCCAAGTTATAATATAAAATTCTTTCAAAGTTATCTAGAGGCAGTGACTAGATGCTTGTACATCTCTTCTGTGTAGCAGCACGTTCCTGATTTCTGTTTACCAGGAAACTCACCAAGAGACTTTCATACTCTCAAATCTTGGGAACATTTTTTTATACCGGAAGTCTTTCTAGGGAAAAAGTTTTTTTAATGGCTTCTGATATGACAGCTGGACACTGGGACCTGGGGTTCCCCTGAAATATTTGCTTTATCTCAGAATTCCTAATGAAGTTCATCTTGATAGTCCAAAGGAGGACCCTAACTCTTAATTCAGGAGCTTTGGTGATTGAGCAGATTCTGCACATCCAAGCTCTCAGGAAGGGGTTGTTCACCCAGTTAGAGGACCTTGAACTGACGGTGACTTTAGATGTGGTTGCACCTCTCTGTAGCAAAGGAAATATGTTTTAACTGACTGGTGGCTGGTGGCATGGCATGGAAGAGCCAAATAAACACAGGTTCTTTTGGATCAAAAAGACTGATAGCATCAATTTAAATAAATCCCAGAAAAGGATGGGGGTTTCTGGAGCTGTTCTGGGTTGGTGATGAAGTTTCAATGCCTCCTGAGAAATCAGGAAGTGGTATATGGTTTTAGCTAGATCAGGGAATTGGGAAGATGTGGGACATGCTTTCTTGGCTTGGGGCATCCTAGAACATTTTAAAGCTCTAAAGCCCTCTGATGTGCTCTAGTCCTCTTAGAGTCTAAAGAAGAGAAAAATAAAAATTTTGACTATACTACAAAGCAATAGGGGACTCTTCATTGCTCTTAAATATTTTCTTCCCTGATTCTTTCATCTTCTGTTTCCTATTTTTCTACCTCAAATTCAGCTTTCATTATTTGCTTAATTCCTGCTAATGCATTCTCTAAATCCATGTCCTGAAACTGTGGTTAAGAAAGACACCCGATGCCTTCTTCCTTCATCTTTTGTGACCAAAAAGCTCATCTGAGCACCTGCCTAACTTCCTGTAAGAGAGGAGAATCAGACAGGAGGTTCATTAGACATTGTCTAGTCTCAAGAAAATAAGTCCTGGAAAGTGGACACATGATTGCATGTGCAAAACTGAGACCAGAACCCAGATGTTCTGAATCCAAAGCCATTGTTCTTTGTTTTGTAGGGTGCTGGTTCCCAATTTGTGATGAATTTTGAATATTGTGACTCCACATATCTCATAATAAGTTTCTTCTACTTGAGACTTTAGTTGAATTAATTTACACAAATATTTGATCTGGAAACTTTTCTCTCCCTCTAGCCTGGTACTGGCTTGAATAGCTTGAACAACAAGTCCCATTATGTTAGGGGAAAATTTGATTGATTCATCCTCAAATATGTATTTTTGTCTTTTCTAGCCCAACATATTATTTGTCTTATTATACTTATCGTCAGAAAATCTGGAAGATTCAATAACCATCAGAAATCTGATATACAAGTCATACTTCATGGAGAAAGAGCCCAACAAGTATTTTTCTTCTATTGTCTTTAACTTTCTTTGTTTTTTGTAGAACTACTTGTTTGAGGTATAATTAACATATAAAAGCTGTATGTGTTTAATGTATAAAACCTAATCAATATAAAGATGAATACATACTCATGAAACCATGACCACAACGTATGCCATAAATATATTTATCACCTCCAAAAGTTTTGTCTGCTCTATTTATTATTATTGTGTGTATATATGTATGTGTTTGATAAGATCATTTAACATAAGATCTGCCATCTTTCTTTCCAAATTAGCAGAATACCTGATCCTGATGCTGCTGAGGCACTTTGAAAATCATTATACAGAAATCTGATTGGATGCCGTAAAACTGGACATCAGCAAAATGTCAAAATGGAACTTTGCAGCACTTATTCTTGCACAGAAACATCAACTTAAATAACTGTGCACAAAAATACCTTCACAAGAGCTAAGGAAACCAGGTGAAAGATTACAGAATCTTAGTGTAGCAGAGAAATAAGAAAAGATGAATTGAAGAGCATAGGAAGAACAATTTTACACTACTGTGTCACCCCACCCACAATATCAGGCAACAAAGCACAGACAGAGACAACCTTTGTGTGGAAGAAGAAAAGGGAATTGGGCACTGAATTTTGCCTTGGACCCCAGCACAGGGGCTACTTCAGTAAAATCCAGTAATATGTATGCCCATATGGCCCCAAACTCCAGGTCAGTACCTGCAGACTGAGCCAGACCAGATGCCACAGCCCAGGATCCAGTCTTTCCTGGTGGACTTGGTTTCTGGATATATCCTAATGCCAGGTCCACCCCAGAGCCCTAGGTGTCAGACTGTTCCTGGGACCAGGCCAGCGCCAGAGACTCCAGGCTCCAGACTGCTTCCAGGACCAGGCTGGCCTCCATAACTCCAGGTTTCAGACTAGCTCCAGGACC